TCCCTGGCAGCCTTAGACTCCCCCCACCCTGGATAATAATCCTGACCTACCCTGCAGGGGTTGCTGCAACATTACAACAAAAACAACAACATAGTGTTATTGAATGTCTAAATAACCCCAGGTTGTTATGGGGGTTATTATGGGCTGGAATCTTCCCCTGGCAATCTCACTATGCCTACCCCACCCAACCCAAACTTTTCATCTCCTGGAAAAGAAGACAGCAGAAGGTGAGGTGAGAACTTGAGGCCCGGGGAAACCAGGTATTGTGTCCCGCCCCCCCCCCCCCTTGACCTGGTAGATTGCTTCTATGCTGGATTCTCTTGTTTGGCCTAGATTTTAAACCCCAGATAAGGAGATTTAAGGCTGTGGCCTGTTTTGATGTCAGAGCTGTGTAGCTGAGAACTGATGTGGGTCAGCCACCCCTGCAGTCGATGCCACAAACCTGTAGGTCTGGCTGAAGTGTGTGTGTGTGGGGGGCTACCTCCACAAAGAAACTAGGCTTCAAGACTTCGTTTGTCTTTAAAACGAAAATTTTCTCATCTAGAAACGTGTACTTTAAAAAAAATGGAGATGGTAAATATTTGTTTTGTGAAAAATCTAATACTGGAATCAAAGAGAATTCTTGAGAACAATATACTTGGTATGTGACTGGATTTTTAGCAACGTAGTGATGGTGTTGAAATAATACTTGGATTTTGGGTCCCTGGCCCCGGAAGGGACATGTGCTGTTCCTTCTACAAAACCCTCTGAAGGTGACTTGCCCCAGCCCTTTTGTGCCATTCTTGTGATCTTCTGCTGATCTTTGCTCTGGAAAATCCAGCCTCGACTGGCTTTACTTGCTGTGTAATGCTTTTCCGAATCAAGATTTAGAAAAATCCCCACCATTCTATACACTTGTCAGGGATGCTCTCGGCTGGTCCTGCATTGGGCGGGGGGTTGGACTAGACGGCCGGTCTGGCCCCTTCCAGCCCTAGGAGTCTATGATTCTATGAACCCTCTGTGCCACACCTATAACTATGCTACCCTTTTGAAGAAAGAGATAGTATTGTAAGGAAGAAACATGCCTCTGAGCATGTACAGAGTGAATGTGTCTGCAGCTGCTGCCCGTATAGTGGGAAAGAAGGGGCAAGGCTGTTTCTCAGGCTAGGTGGCCAGACTTGGAACATATCTAAAGCAGGGGTCCCCCCCTCCAAATGTTTTTGGGGTTGCAGGCACCTTTGACATTTTGAGAGGGGGTGTTAAGGGCCGACTGAGTTGGGGAATCCATGGAGATTTAGGGGTGGAGCCTGAGAAGGGTGGGGTTTGTGGGAGGGGGAGGACCTCAGCGGGGGTACGGAGCCCCAGAGTTTACCCTCCAAAGCTGCCATTTTCTCCAGAGAAGTTGATCCTTGTTGTCCGGAGATCAGCTATGATTCTGGGAGGTCTCTGGGTGCCACCTGGAGGCTGGCAAGTCTAGTGCCACCTCAAAATGGCTTCCAAATGGAATGCCTCCCGCCTTACGTCCCCTGGGAAGAAGGAAATCCTGAAGGGGACCCCCACACTGACTGAGAAAGGCCCCAGTTTCTTACCAGAGCCACTTTGGTATGGTGGTTAAGTGTATGGACTCTAATCTGGGAGAACTGGGTTTGATTCCCCGCTCCTCCTCTTGCACCTGGCTGGATGACCTTGGGCAAGCCCTAGTTTTGATAGGAGCTGACCTTGAAAAAGAGCAGTTTCTGTCAGAGCTCTCTCAGCCCCATCTATCTCACAGGATGTCTGCTGTGGGGAGGGGGAGGGAGAGGAGTTTGTAAGCCGCTCTGAGACTCCAAGTGAAGGGCAGGGTATAAGTCCAATCTCCTCCTCCTCCTCCTCTTCTTCTTTTTCTTCTTCTTATTCTTCAAGAGCCAGTTGGGTGTAGTGGTTAAGCGCACAGACTCTAATCTGGGAGAACCGGGTTTGCTTCCACACTCCTCCACTTGCACCTGCTGGATGACCTTGGGCAAGCTGTAGTTCTGACCAGAGCTGTCCTTGAAAAAGAGCAGTTTCTGAGCTCTCTCAGCCCCACCTACCTCACAGGGTGTCTGTTGTGGGGAGGGGAAGGGAAAGGAGTTTGTAAGCAGCTCTGAGATACCTTTGGGCAGTGAAGGGCGGGGTATAAAATCTCTTCTTCTTCTTCTTCCTCTTCTTCTTGCTATAGTGGAGGACTTTTTTGTTTGAACAAGGGAAGCTAGTAATGAGACCTGCCTTACAATGGTCCTGCCTGCTGTCTGAAAAATTCAGCAAGGGCCAAAGGAAGCACTAGTGGGCCCCATAACGCCCATGGGCACCATATTGGGGAACCCTGTTCTAAAGACTCAGCAGCCTCATCCTTCTCTTCCTTGGCGAGAAACTGGCCAAAGAGGAAAAAATAAACAAGGCCCAACTAGCAGCCAGGATATCCCCCCCCCCCCGGACAGTTGGAAATCCTGGGTCAGAACAATAAAGTAATCTATCCAATCTATTCTCTTCTCTTCTTCTTTTAAAATATCTGAAAAAGGGAATCCCTCAGAGTCCAGCAGCACGGTTTGTGTAGATTCAGTCCTTTTCCTGCAAAGGCTTCTGGGACCAGCGCCTCTATTCAACATCTAAGAACCTCTTGGTCCTTGGCCACATGTACAAAATCCAAACAGACTATGAGTGCTCAGTGTTCCAGCTGAACAGATGATGTGAAGTATCAACACAAACCCAGGAAGAGATTATCAGTAATCTGACAGCGAGAGGGAAACAGCAAGGTTGCTTGAGGTCCAGCACATTTTTGGGCGGGTGGCGAGAGCAGGGTCTGTGGCAACTGAAGCGAAGCTGCAGGTGGCAATTCAGAGCCTCCCCGTCATGCTGATTGTAGAGTCGCCAACTCCGGCTTGGGAAATTCCTGGAGGTTTGGGGTGGAGCCTAGGGAGGGTGAGGTTTGGAGAAGGAAGGGACGTAATGCCATATTGTCCACCTTCCAAAGCAGCAAACTGATCCTTAAGTGCCAGTTTGGTGTAGTGGTTAGGAGCATGGACTCTAATCTGGGAGAACTGGGTTTCAGTCCCCACTCTTCCACGTGCAGCTGCTGGTGTGACCTTGGGTCAGTCACAAGTTCTCTCAGAGCTGTTCTCTCAAGGGCAGTTTTCTCTCAAAGCTCTCTCCGCCCCGCCTACCTCCCAGGGTGTCTGTTGTGGGGAGGGGAAGGGAAAGGGATTGTAAACTGCTCTGAGACACCTTTGGGTAGTGAAGGGCGGGGTATAAATCCAGTCTCTTCTTCTTGTGTCCTTTGGAGATCTGTTGTCCTTCCAGGAGATCTCTAGGCTGTGCCTGACGACTGGCAACCCTGGTTGAACTGGAATGGGGGAATCAACACTTTACAGAGTGGCCTACAGGGAGAGCTGTGCCAGTGGTCCATTTCTATCTGCTCAAAGCTGAGTCAGACATGCAGAAGAAATAGGACTGCCAACCTTCAATTGAGCCCAGAGACCTCCCAGATCTTCAGAGTACAGAATTCAGCTCCCCTGGAGAAAATGGCTGCTTTGGAGGGTGGACTCTGTGGCCTTGTGCCCCACTGGGGTTCCTGCCCTCCCCAGGCTCCACCCACAAATATCCAGGAATTTCCCAACCTGGAGTTGGCAACCCTAAAAAGTACCCTAAAAAGTACCCGTGCTTATTGGCTTAGTCAGCTGCAGCTGGGAAGAAATATGCATTTGTACATTTCCTTTGAACATTTCTTTGTACATGTGGGGTGTTATCAAAAGAAAGCCCGAACGGAGAAACCGATTTCCATTTAGCTGAGAATCTCTCGGTAGCTATTCCTTGGGAAAAGATAATTCATTCCCAGCGGATCCCAGTTTAGCCTTCTCCTTGGCATGCTAACTTTCCACAGGCAGGGGCTTCATCTCATACAGGCCAGAGAAGTCGAATGCATGTAATGGGCTAGTCCAGGCAGGGCTATACCACATGGTATTTTAAACAAATTGCTCAAAGGGGATCAAGGTGGGCAGCCGTGTTGGTCTGAAGCAACAGAACAAAGTTAGAGTCCAGTGGGGGCACCTTGAAGACCAATAAAGTTTTATTCAAGGTGTGAGCTTTCGTGTGCAAATCACACTTTGCCAGGTGATGAAATGGAATTAATAAAGTGCGGTAGCCCGATCACACGGTCCCCCGAGTCTTTGTGCTTAGGCTGTTAGCTGGCGATCACACGGCAATGCTGGAGCGTGGCAAAGAAGCGGCGCTGCAAGCGTTTCACGTTTGTGCGCATGCGCAGTTCCACGAAGCAGCACTGCTTTCAGTTACGTGTTTGTGCGCATGCACTTACGAAAAACATCCGGTTTGCGACCGGACGTGGACAGGCGCCGGATGCCACAAGATACTAGCGCTCCCGCGATCAGACACCCGCCCCTGCCCCGCGTTTTCAGGATACTAGTGCAATTTCCGAGTTACTTTTTAACTGCGCATCTTCGGCGGGATGCCACGGGTTGGCCACGGGTGCGCTACGCTTCCCAGATGTTGTGGCGTGATCGCGCCCCAAAAATCCGCCTGACATTCGTGCCTTTCACGTGGCAAATCCTCTGTGTGACCAGGGCCAGAGTTGTATATATAGGGGTGGCTTGTTAAATTAGCATGCAAAATAGTGAAGACGTTTATTAACAGATCAAAAGAATGACAAGCTCACACCAACTTTGTTGGTCTTAAAGGTGCCGTTTGGACTCTAACTTTGCTCATAGGAGAGTTTCTGAAAAGGGCAGCATTCAGGTGCTACTGCCCTATCATCCTATATGCAGAAGATCTTTGGATCGCTGCTCAGGACAGAGGCGGTAAAGAATGGGACGGGCACCTATAAAGGAAGTTCCGGCGATTAGCCATGCCGGTCTGTGGTAGAGCAGCTAAATTCAAGCCCCTTAGAGACCAGGAAGGTTTTTTTTGGGGGGGTATAAGCTTTCAAGAGACAGAGCTCTCTCCCTCAGACACCTTCATCTGAAAAGGAAGTTATTCTTCTGGTTGCCTTTCAGAGTCAAGACTGGAGCAAGAATGACGAGAAACTCCTGCAGGCCGTGGAGTACAACGATGCGGAAAGAGTTGCCTCTCTCCTTCTCCGGAAGGGCCTCGTGCCCACCAAACTGGACTCGGAAGGAAAATCTGCGTAAGCCACTCCCGTTTATTTGCAAGAGTCCCAGCCAGGGGGAAACAAAATGGAAAACTAGTCCCCCCGAGGGTTTATAAACCAGATTGGCAGCTCTGGGTTGGGAAACCCCTGGAGATTTGGGGGGGTGGAACCTGGCAAGGGCGGGGTTTGGGAAGGGGAGGGACCAGTGCTCCCTCTGAGCTGTGGACTCTCGTGAGCAAAAATTCTACTTTGTGAGCTGCTGGCATTAAAGTTGTGAGCGAGCAATTTGTCAACTGCATAAATGAGTTTGCTCTGGAGCCCTCCTTCCTGAGCTGAGACAAAAATGTGTGAGCCGGAGGCTAAAAACCTGTGAGCTAGCTCACACTAACTCAGCTTAGAGGGAACACTAGGAGGGACCTCAGAGAGGGGTCCAAGGCCACGGAGTCCATCCTTCAAAAGGGCCATTTTCTCTGTCCCCCTGGAGATCAGTTGTAAAAGCAGGAGATCTCCCGGTGCCACCTGGAGGCTGGCAGCTCGACTTATAATCAACCCCCTCACAAAGAGAGCTGCAGAACTGCGGAGGGGGAAATCTGGGGTATGGGGAAATTTCAGAATTGTTCCTCCCGCCATGATTTCTCATTTATAATGTAGACGGTCAATTTGTTCATGCATAAATAATGTCACAAAAAACATACCCTTTCTGGGGGGGGGGGGAGTCTTGTGCCAGGAGAATAAGAACAATGTGGAGGTAAAGAATGACTGGTTCCATTTGCACCAATGGGAAGAAAGACGAAGCAGGGAAATAATTCTGATTATGAATATAATTGCAGGTGCCTGTCTGTTTGATAAGGCCCCGTTAGGCCTAGTATTGATTTTTTTTTTTTAAACCTTGCTCATTTTCTGTTATGGCTTTTCTGTTATGCTGTGATGTGATAGATGAATTTTTGTAAAATTTCTTATCAATAAAATTTAGAAAAAGGGACTCTCATAACAACTAACATAATAACATAGAAACATGGAAGATGAGCAGGAACTCTACAAGTATATTGTGATGCTAACACTTGTGGTACTAACATTTTCACTAACAGAAATAAGATCTCCACCTCTTGGGTTCTTTCCTGTATCCCTAGTTATAGCTCCCCTTCCTAATTTTCTTTGTAGTTTGTAGTTTAATGCAAAATAAAAAAATATCCCTTCGGGGGTGTATAGGAAAATTGATTTCTAAAGCCTTCATGTATCCCTTGTGATGTTATAGAGTTTCATGTACCCCTTGTGTGATTCCTGGAAGTTTCACGTTCCCCTTAGGAATGTATCTGGCTTGACCATTTGTCCAGATTGCCCCCATAAATCCAGATGCCTCAGTGAAGCATGGCAGAGATGCACGTAGGCTCCTGGATGGGAGGGGGACATGGATCAGTTTACTGCAGAGGCGGGTCTATGAAACCCCACCTTCCATTTGTACCCCGCTCACCCTCGAAGGGCTCTGAGCGGCTTACACGGTGCATGGTGCAGAGACCTATGCAGAAACCCTGACTATGGCCACAGTACGTCTGGGGTGGGGGGAGCCCTACCAGGTACCCTCCCGACTCCGATCGTTCGTTTATCCGGCGAGTGGGCGACTCCTTCCAGTTTTTCTCCAGTGTGTCTTCTGCAGCCTCCACTGTTCTTTCGGCTCTCTGGTGACTCCTCTCAGGGGCTGTTGGTTATGGGCCCTGGTGCGCAGCCGCGGTGGGCATCACAACGTCCTTACGGCTCCGGCCGGCCTCCTGCTGGCCACGTCATAAGCTGCCGAGCCAACCGCCTCCTTGGGATGTCGCTGCCTCTCTTCATTTATAAGTTATAAGTTCAGCAAGGATGAGAAATTCAAAATTACCCTTGCAAGGGAAGTGACGTGTGCACATGTAATTATCAGAGTTTTCCCTTCATTCTTGTAATGCTAGAACTGGGGCTCACCCAATGTAGGTGATGGGCAGTAAATGCAGGACAGATCATGCAGCCTTCTTCATGCAACCAAGTGGGCTGTAAGGTTGCCAGGTCCCCCCTGGCCACCGGCAGGGGGTGGAGGGCAAAGGGTTGGGAAACTCCTGGAGATCTGGGGATATAGCCTGGCAGGCCTATAGCCACGGTGGGCCTTTGGGGGGCACTGCCCCCTTTCTTAAAGGCACAGTCTGCCAAGAATTTCTCCTGTAAATGCTTTTTTCAATCATTTCAAAACACTTTTTAAAAGGTGTGCACTCCTTTAAGCAGAGTGGGGGTGCTGTAGTTGATTAATTCCTGCACTGAGCAAGGGGGTGGGAGTAGGTGACCTCTAGGATCCCTTCTAACTCTGTGACAAGAAACTGGTCTCCTTTAAGAGAGTTTTTTCTGCCTGTTAGCTTTCCTAACCATAGAGGTCATCACCTCTACCTGCCGGCTTGTTCTCAGAATTGCTGCGTAGGCTGGCAGAAGTGATCGACTTGCAGCAGCTGAGAACAGCCATCTGAAGTGGTTGACAGCTTGCAGTTTAGAGATCTATCCGGGTCACAGCTTTCTGTTGGCTTAATGGCCTTTCTTTCTGCACAGAGAACTTCAGCCCCACCAGAAGAAAAATTGCCCCACAACATCCTGGCTACGGGCCTGGATCCTGGGGAGGACAGAGACCTCAGTGGAGTACGATGCCACAGAGCCCACCTTCCCAAGCAGCCCTCTTTCTCCAGGGCAACCGACCTCTGTAGTCTGGAGATGAGCTGTAATTCCGGGGGATCCCCGGGCCCCACCTGGAGGAGGCTGGCACCCCTAAGAGGAGGCCTCACACAAAGTTCTTTCATGCTGGAGATGTGATCAACTGTGTCAAAACCAGGTCGGGGGGACCCAAACACAACGCATTAAAAATCGTAACGTCGTTTGCCCCACAGTTTGTCATTTTCTAGTTTGTTTTCACATGCCATAGATAGCTGTTTGTCCAGTGTGTACGTCTACTAATGTATGCACGAGCAGGCTCAATCAATCCATCTAATTTATTGCGGCAGGAGCCAGTAAAACAGTACAATTCTGATATAAAAGGGATTAAAACAGTAATAACATGGGAATAATATAAAAACATTAACAGGAGAGAGTTAATAAGATTAGTAAAGTAAAATAGTGTTAATAAGAGAATCATACAATTTTTTCAGCTAAAATAAGTTAACGTTTCCTAATAGCTAGGTAAAGGTAAAGGCTCCCTTGCTCGAAAGCCAGTCGAGTCCGACTCTAGGGTTGCGGTGCTCATCTCCGTTTCAAAGCCGAAGAGCCAGCGCTGTCCGGAGACGTTTCCGTGGTCATGTGGCCGGCATGACTAAACGCCAAGGCGCACGGAACGCTGTTACCTTCCCACCGAAGTGGTACCTATTTATCTACTTGCAATTTCTTGCTTTCGAACTGCTAGGTTGGCAGGAGCTGGAACTAGAGACGGGAGCTCACTCCACCATGCGGCACACTCGGGTCTCGAACTGCTGAACTACCGACCTTCCACAGCCTGCAGTTCAGTGTCTTAACCACTTGAGCCACCGCAGCTCCTAATAGCTAAGTAACAAAATTTTGCCACAGCGCAAGTCACTGAGCTCTGAACGTCTTCTAAGAGGAATTTACGAAGGACTTCTGGCCTAAAGTCAAGATAAGACTGCAGAGGGCTAAATCTAGACAGAAGGGGTAGTATAAGATGGTCTCGTTCCTCCTGATAGAATCTGCAGAACAGGAGGACATGAGTAATTGATTCCACCATATTAGCCATGCATGGGCATGTACGTTCATGCATTGGGACTCGAGTGAATTTACCTTGCAGTACAGCGGAAGGGAGCGCCTCAAAGCGGGCTCTGGAAAAGGCCCATCTATAGGGTTCATAGGTAATGTTAACTAACTAAGGGGCAACAGTAAAATGTGGCCAAGATTTTATGTTTCTGTCGTTCTCGGGTAGCAAAGCTTCTTCATTTTGTGATTCAATACCACGAAGCCTCTGCACGACCGCTGTTCTTGCCTTGTATAGGCTTCCATAGAAGAGATATTCTGTGAATAGGCCAATCTGATTTAATTTATTAAGAATTTGTGTGGACCAGGCAGGGTAAGGGTCCGAGGCTAAAAAGTAAGGTATTCAACCCTTTGGGTTGTAATGAATTTCTAGCCAGAGCATTATAGCCTGCTCCCAGACCTTTGTTTCAACTCTGAGTAGCCCAGCCTGTTGCCTAAGTGTTACATTAGAGGTACTTCTAGGAACGCCAAATAGAGATCTAAGAAATTTAGATTGAACCTTTTCAAGGGTCTTTAGACTAGCAGAAACTCCGATTTGTGAGCCATACAGGAGTTGAGCCAATGATTTTGCCTGGAAGGTTTTTAAGGCCGTGGGGAGAAAGCCTGCACCTTTCCTTCTAAATAATCTAAGAATGGCATTTGCACTTCTCTCTGCCAGGTTAGCTGATGAGGACAGATGTGCTGAGAGCACAAGCAGGCTCTCCGTCACTATTGCCTACAGAATTGTGCCATGCTGTGAAAATCTTCTGCTAAGCTAGGAGCATACACTTAGTGGTGGACCCCTGGCTCCATGGCAGGGCATCTGCTCGGTGTGCAGAAGGTCCCAGGTACAGTCCCTGGCATCTCCAGTTAAAAGCAGCACAGGTGATGTGAGAAACCTCAACCTAAGACCCTGGAGAGCTGCTGCCAGCCTGAATAGACAATATTGACCTTGGTAGAACCAGGGTCTGACTCAGTAGAAAGCAGTTTCTGGGTATGTTTGTTGATTTTCGCCTGCTTCCAATAACGATCTTCCCAGCCAGGATCCCCTGATAAGCTTCCGAAAGGAGGTAGGATGCCCCGAAACAAAGGCCCTTTCTGCACCCGTTATTTTGCCTCGGTTTCCGAGTGCATCCTGTTCTTCTGTTCTGCATCCCCGCCCGCTTTCACTCCAAGGTTGTGTCAGGGCTTTTTCTTGTTTCTGCACTGGTTGTACAGGAATCGGCATTCAGACCGCTTCCAGCACACTGTGGCCCCACAGCTACCAAAACTCCTTTTGCAGCGATGCTTTGTTCTCATCCACTTTGGAATCACTAGTTCTCTCTGAAGCAGAATGGTTTCTGTGGGCATTTAAGCCCTGCCCGCTGCCCTCCCCCCATTTCCACTTCTCCCTCTTTAGGGGGGCACTCCCTCCCTGTTCTGTTTCCTCTCCCTCCTGCTCCAAAGACAAAAGAGGACGTCTCCTCCTGCTCAGGCAAACTTTAGAAAAGCCAGCTTAAGAAGGAACCAGTAAATATAAAGGACCAGGGGATTCCCTGCTCCCAAATGTGTCAGTCTTGCATGTGTGGGCCTGGATTTCCCCCTCCCTTTCTCTTTCTTTTTGCAGAGGCATGAAGGGGTGTGTGGCTAGGTCTGCAGTTAAAAGTTTCGAAAGATGGTTGCCTTTCTCTTTATCTTGGACAAAGCAGCCAGTTAGCTCAAAAAATGCGGGTTTTGCTTGTAGATGCAGAATGCATACAGAAAACACAAATAGACCAGAGAGGAAAACTCCAGTGCAGAGATAATGTGTGCGGCTGCGAAAGTCAACCCTTAAGGCTTGACTCCTCGGATTCTCCGGATTCTGCAGAATGAGCCATAGTCTGAAAACTAGTGACATAAAGGATGTTCCCTATCACTAAAATTTAAGACTTTGAAGTACTTTCCCCATGAAGAAATTTGGGGGAAGAGGGTCTCATAAGTATGGGGGGGGGAGAGATGACAAAATGGAGCACATGAGAGAGGTTTATAAAATTATGCACAGTGTAATGAAAAAAGAGAGAGGATTTTCTCTCCTTTCCCCTCCTTTTCCCCTTTGAGAGCTAGTTTGGTGTCGTGGTGAAGTGTGCGGACTCTAATCTGGGAGAACCGGGTTTGATTCCCCACTCCTCCTCCACTTGCACCTGGCTGGATGACCTTGGGCAAGCCGTGGTTCTGATAAGAGCTGTTCTTGGGAAAGAGCAGTTTCTGTCAGAGCTCTCTCAGCCCCACCTACCTCACAGGGTGTCTGTTGTGGGGAGGGGGAGGGAAAGGAGTCTGTAAGCTGCTCCGAGACACCTTTGGGTAGTGAAGGGCGGGGTATAAATCCAATCTCCTCTTCTCTTCTTCTTCTTTCTTATCATGCTAGAACTGGGGAATTCCCCAGCAATGCTGCTGATGGGCAATCGATTCAGGTCGTGTCAAACTGATGCTGATGGGCAATGCTGCTGATGGGCAATCGATTCAGGTCGTGTCAAACTGATGCCGCAAAGGCCTTACTGGGAGACTTCTGCTGTGCTGGGAATTTGTCCTGCAGGGCCCTTTGCGGATGTGTTGATCTGGCCTTTGGGCAGTAACAGCAACTTGGCCTTGTTCTGCAGGTTCCACCTGGCCTCCATGAAAGGGAACGTGGACTGCTTAGAAGTGATGCTGGCCCATGGAGCAGATACCATGACGACCGACAGCTCAGGTGGGCTTCGCTCAAAGGTTCCTCTCCGCCTTTCTCCCAGGGAAAGAGGACCTGAGCTGATTCTGTTTAGCCCAAGGCCAGAATAGACTTCATTCATTGTTATTTATTCCTTCATTGGTATCCTGCCTTCCTCCCCTCATCCAGTTTATCCACTCAACCTTGCAAGGTAGGCTGAGAGACTGTGACGGGCCCAAGATTGCCTGGCGAGCTTTCAAGGCAGAGCAGGGATTCAAAACCCGGCTGTCCCAAGTCGTAGCCAAGTCCCATCTGGTATGAAACAAAATAATACTGGGCCTTCTCTTTCTTCCCCGTCCACAGGTTACACGGCTTTGCATCTCTCGGCAAAACACAGCCACCCACAGTGCATGAGCAAACTATTGCAGGTAAGTGCCTTCTCTTGGGTGTGCAAGAATTGGAAATGCTCCAAAACGCAGGGCTCCAAAAGAATTGCACGGCTACAGGCAGCACAGCAGCATCCAGAACTCATAGGGTTAAGCATAGTGGAGGGCATGTTGAGGGAGGGGATGAATGAATGAATGAGTAAATGTTTAATTGCAGCCAAAGACCATTAATCATAGGAATACAAGGGGTGGGGATGAGAAGGGGATGGGATCCATGTCATAATGAGTTTTCGTAGATGCAGCAAGCTGTGATCTCTCAGCCCTTCCCCCCATATGCATAATGCTGTCCCACCTCGCAGGAGTGTATGCAAAGCGCTTTGAACACTCTTGTATGAATGCAGTGTGTGCATTTCGCACAGCACCTTACGCACTCAGACTAGGCACCGTTTAGGATGAGCTGGTGCTGTACAGTGAGAAAGAGTCATCTGGTCCAACCCCCTGCACAATGCAGGAAAATCACAAATACCTCCCCCCCACACAACCCCAGTGGCCACTGTTCATGCCCAGAAGGGGGGGGGGATCCCCTGGGATCCCTGGCTAAATTGGCCTTGAGAAAGTTGCTTCCTGGCCCCAAAGTGGCAACCAGCATTTCCCCGGGCGTGTCAGAAAGGGCCACGAGAACTAAGCCCTGGTGCAACCCTCCCTGCCCTCCCTCTCATGGTCTGCCTAAATTCACAGAATCCGCATTGCTGTCAGATGGCCACCGAGCCTCTGTTTGAAAACCTCCAAAAGGAGGAGAGCCCACCACCACCTCCCGAGGAAGCCTGCTCCACTGAGGAACCGTGTTGCTGCTGTTACTAGTTTGGTGTAGTGGTTAAGAGCACGGACACTAATCTGGGACAACTGGGTTTGATACCCCACTCCTGCTGGCGCGACCTTGGATCAGTCACAAGTTCTCTCAGAGCTGTTCTCTCAAAAGTAGTTCTCAAAAGAGCTCTCTCAGCCCCACCTACCTCACAGGGTGTCTGTTGTGGGGAGGGGAAGGGAAAGGAGATTGTAAACCGCTCTGAGACTCGTGAAGGGCGGCAGGGTATAAATCCAGCCTCTTCTTCTACTGATGTTACAGTTGCCAACCTCCTAGTGGGTCCTAGAGATCTCCCATTATTACAGCTGATCTCCACGTTACAGGGATCAGTTCCCCTGGAGAAAATGGCAGTGTTTGCAAGGTGGTCTCTATGGTATTGTACCTCCCCTTCCCAAACACCACCTTCCCCAGGTGCCCTCCAAAATATCCAGGTATTTTCTATCCCAGAGTTGGCAAGTGCTCTTCTTTTTTTCCTTCTTTCCAAAACTTGAAATCCAAAGCTGAAACCATTATTTTGCCGAAACGTGGCCCTTCACATATATTCTAAAGCACTGAACTTTTGAAAACCTGCACACAACTGAACATTAGATTCCTATCTGATGTGATTTGCATTCCCTCGGCTCCGTTTAAAAAAAAGAGGGGGGGAGAGAGTGCAGCAACCTTCTCTGTACATTTGAGACATCTTGATGAATATCTATTTGGGGGAGGGGGAGCCAAATCTCAGCCCAGCAAAGAAAAGTTGACCTTGAGTAACCTTAATCAGTTTTACTTTCAGCCACGGATACATTTCTTGCTGAAATCATGAGCATCACATTCAAATTGGAAAACACCGACCCTCCCCTTTGCAGTGTGGTATTAAGAAATAGAAATGCATCCTGAGTGTATGGCCTCTGCCACATTATTTTTATTATTATTATTATTATTATTATTATTATTATTATTATTATTGCCTGTGTGTCCCTATTGCTTCTGGGGGGGAGGTTCCCCCCACAAGTGTGTGCTCCCTCTAGTGGAGTATTCAATATTAGATAGCTGAATTACTTTGTTGATTTAAACTGCAGGTTTTTATGCCTGACATACAGTACTGTAATACTGAATCAGCCACTAGAGGGAGCACAACACTGGTGGAAAAGAAACAAAAGAAGCAATAGGGACACACAACAAAAATAAGAATGCAGGAGAGCCCTATATGGGTTTACTCAGAAGTAAGTGCTGCTGTGTTTAGTTGGGCTTATTCCCACGTAAGGACTGTAGTTAATTGCTTATTCCTAACTTGTTTGGTTTCACTCAGGCATCCTGCCCTGTTGATGTGGCAGACAGCAACGGACGGACCGCGCTGCATCATGCAGGTGAGCTCTGTCCGCAACACAGAATGCTTCCAAAATTTTCCTCTGCCCAATTTTGCCCCAAAAGTTGGAGTTACAAATTACCTAGACTTGCTTCTGGTGTGTTAAGACTCTGGTATTTAATTTTTTTTACTTCCAAATATTGTACCATTCACTACGCATGCACAGCTTGTCACAGTTCTCAGGCATTTCAGTTCATGTGTATCTTTTCCCCCTCCACATTACCAGTGTACATGGATAAATTACTACCTAAAATCCAAAAAGACAACTCAGAGGGTTCTAGATCAAATCAAGCCGGGACTCTCCTTAGCACAGTGATGGCGAACCTTTTAGAGACCGAGTGCCCAAACTGCGACCCAAAACCCACTTATTTATCGCAAAGTGCCAACACGGCAATTTAACCTGAATACTGAGGTTGTACTTTAGAAAAAAACCACTCACACATTAACATAAGATGATCCAAAGTACGGAAAGCAATCCCAAAGGCTTTCATTTACTTAAAATTATTTGGCAGAGAATTCGACACTTTATGATGGTCTGGGCCTGGCTGGGGCGATGGCACGTGTGCCCGCAGGGAGGGCTCTGAGTGCCACCTCTGGCACCCGTGCCATAGGTTCGCCACCACTGCCTTAGAAGTTAAAATGATCAAACTGAGGCTATCGTACTTTGGTCACATTATGAGAAGACAAGAGTCACTGGAAAACACAATCATGCTAGGAAAAGCTGAAGGCAGCAGGAAAAGGAAGGCCCAACAAGAGATGGATTGACTCAGTCAAGGAAGCCACAGCTCTCGGTTGCAAGACCTGAGCGAGGGTCTTAAGATGTTTTGGAGGATATGGATTCACAGGTGTAATGTATTCAGCCTGACATGCCCGGACTTGCCCGGGCTGGCCAGGCACAATTCCTCTGTAGCTTCAGTCGAAAGACAAAGGATCCGAAGGATCCTAGCCGGCCCAAACAAAAGAGCTAGCTTCCCAGCCGGGAGACCAATGGTCGCCCGGTTACTGTAAATAGCCTATCGGGAGTAGGGGGTGTGTTTAGGTGTGCTTGGTGGCGGGTTTTCTGAATGCATATAAACCGGCCTGCGAGCCGGTCAGTTGTCTTTGTCCTGAACTAAATAAAGGTATGCTTAGCTGAAATCACTCTCCGTCTGCATACTTTTCAACAGGGTTGCCATGTTAGAAGCAACTTGACAGCACTTAACACACACACACACACACACACACACAATCCAATTTGATGCATGCGATTTTTGCAAAGTGCTTTATCCATGTGCAAGATGCCTAAACATGGGAGCATCAGGAATCGTGTTTTTCCTGATGTGCTTTTCCACATCAGCAAAACACTACATCATTGTACTTACAGCTTCCTCGAGTTTGCTCATTTGCAGTGTTTTGTCCATGCTTATGTTCACATCTGTACTGGAGGTGAAGGGAAAGAACACAAATGTGCGGAAGGAACCGGAGCAGGAAGCTGAGGCTAAGTGCACATGCTCCAGTTCCAGGGTTACTTTTAGACATTCTCCTAGTTAAACCTGAATTAAGGAGGAGAGGAATGCAGCACAGAAAGGAACTGTGGAACAACAAAGGAATGGAACTAGGGAAGCTGACTCATTCATCCGCTGCAGCTTCCGTTGGGGAGCACAGGCAAAGCTCATTGAAAAGTACTGAGACTTACTAGTGATTTCAGCTCTCATACTTTATTTCAGCTCAGAACAAGACGAGAGTACCCAGCTCGCAGGCTGGTTTATATGTGCACAGACCCCGCTCCCCAAACACACCCACACACAAGTGATTGGCTGTTTACAGTGGCCGAGAGTTCCATAGGCTTTCGGCCAGGCGCCTAGCCTGCCGATAGGTGCCGGCTAGGATCCGCTTGTCCCATTGTTACTGAGAGCAAAGCTCGGTCGCTTCGCCTGACCGCGTGGCGAAACGGCCGCGCACGCGGTCTGATATGGATATATTACACTCATGTTTCCCTGAGATACTAATTTTCTATGTGTGGGGATTTTTGTGAGTGTGGAAGTACTGAATGAGGTGATTCCCCCATGTGATACTACCTGGAAACAGATTCATCGCCTGTAGCCGAATCTCATTCTGCAGTAGAAGTTGCAAATTGCCCCTTGTGTCATGGTCATGTATACGGTTGCCAGGTGCCCTTGTTGGGGACGTCAAACAGCAATGTCGCTGTTTGGGGGTGGGGTAGCAGAAGCCTCAAAAACTGGGGGAAACCCCACCGGGACCTGGGGAGTGGGGACTGGCAACCCTATCTTTGTAGATGTGTGTCGAAGCACCCCCATTGCAACAGCAGTTTTTATCCCTTCTGTTTTTCAGCGCTCAGTGGATGTATCTCTTGCTTGGAGATTCTCTGTGACTTTAAGGCTTCCTTGAACACCAAGGACCAGGTAAGGCACCCTGCGCCGTCCCCCCCCCAACTCAAGGTAAACCTCCCGTTTCCTCTTCTTACTGTCAGAGCAATGTCCTCAGTAAGAGGCCACAAAAAAGCCAGAGAATGGAATGTTCCCTGCAAAATTCAGCTTTTTATGAATCTTGACGCTCTTTAAAAAAAAAACACACAAAGCTTCTAGCCCTCATGAACGTGAAAATTCTGTTTGAGGTTTTCTCAGAAACCCTGCTGAATAATGTTCCTAGGGGGGCAGCGGTTC